CTATGTTGCCCAGGCTGGAGTACAGTGACTACTCACAGGCACAATCTTTGCACATTCAGCCTCTAACTCCTGGGCTCAAGCAATCCTCCAGCTTCAGCTTCCTGAGTAGCTGGGACTACAGGCACATGCTACTGTGCCAGCTTACATATGTATTCTTACAGAAATATTCCAAAATCCCATTATGAGAAATAAATAAATAGAACATAAATAAATTTAAAACATTCCTATTAGGCTAAGTAATAAGTAATAAAGAAAACTGTGCATGATTAGTTTGTGAATACCATTTCTCAGACACTGGCACTACTCAACATTGACTTTTGTTTTTGGAGACAGAGTCTTGCTCTGTTGCCTGGGCTAGAGTGCCGTGGCATCAGCCTAGCTCTCAGCAACCTCAAACTCCTGGGCTCAGGCGATCCTCCTGCCTCAGCCTCCTGAGTAGCTGGGACTACAGGCATGCGCCACCATGCCCAGCTAATTTTTTCTATAATTACTTGCCCAGCTAATTTCTTTCTATTTTTAGTAGAGATCAGGTCTCACTCTTGCTCAGGCTGGTCTCCAATTCCAGACCTCAAGCAATCCTCACACCTCGGCCTCCCAGAGTGCTAGTGCTAGGATTACAGGCACGAGCCACCTCGCCCAGCCCAGAATTCAACACTTTAAAGGCAGAATACATTTTCTTTGAAGATGCTATTCACTTACACTGACAGCATTAATATCTGAGACGTGTCCCGTGAAAGACTGTCTACACATTCCATCTCGAATATCCCACAATTTGGAAGAAGCATCACAAGCACCAGAAACAAAAGTCCTCACGTCAGGACTCAGAGAAAGACTCATCACATCTCCAGAATGCCCAGTGAATGTGGTGGTCTGCTGGGCAGTTTCGATGTCCCATAAAGCACTACAATTAAAAATAAATAAAAATATTTAATGACTCTTATCTCTTCACCCATTAGTTCCTATTACCACCTTCAGACCCCAAATCAGCATTTTTCTGGAATAAACTTACCAAGTTGTATCTCCTGAACTTGTAACAATTTGGCTGTCATCTAAAAAACGACAGCAGGACAAGTAGCCTACAGCATAGACAGAAGCAAATTTTAGGTTATCATTGATCGAATGACTCCAGTTACCACATAAAATAGTAATATATATCTTCGAAAATAGAATACCTGGATAACAAGTGTTTGTCAGTATAGTCTATCTTTCTACTTTCAATTACTTCAAACTCCGTGCTGTCTACAAGTAAATTTTATCAACAAACCCTTCTTAGGCATTTAATGTGTCAATGGCATTGTTCTGGGTACCGTGAAAGTTAGAAAGCTGAGTAAGACACAGTCCCCTGAGAAAATCACCTGGTGAAGGAAGATACTTCTTTACACAAATAACTATTCATGTAATCTATGGCCAACTGTGTTAGGCACCTTTGAGAAATTTTAAAATACTGTGAGAAATTAGAAGAATATCATTGAAGGCTTTATGAAAGATACGGCATTTAATGCTTAGCATTCATCAGTGTTTCACAATATGGAAATGGCAGGGAAACACCATTCTAGAGATTTTTGTGAAAGCCTGGTCAAATAGTACTGCCAAAAGTTCCAATGGGCAGACAATAGATGAGTAGCAACAAATTCCTAACTAACACTGCTAACCAAACATGACACTACTGAAATATGGTGTGCACGCTGGCAAATAAAGCAATGCGCTATCACAGTGAAAAATACTTCATTAATGTACCTTAGTGCGTACTTTCAATTCTATAATTGAGTACAGATGCCACAAGCCCATAATTGTTATGTAGTAGTAGAAAACACAGAAAATTATATTTGCTTTCTTTTTGTATTTTTCATTAGTCTGAATTTTTTGCAGTAAATTTATCATTTTTACAAAAACAATACTGCTGTTTTTGAAAGAAAAATAAAATTGCAGTCATTCCGTGTATGATTATAAAAAGTTAATGTTTCCCTAAATTCATAGTAATCTCTACCCTCACCCAATTGCTACTCATCCTTTAGCCAGCTGAGCACGATTTGTCACTTGTCCCGGATCAGCGCATTCTACAGAAGGAGCTAGGTTTGACTCCTTCACTAAATAATAATGCTTAGTGAAGCTCACCTGTGTGGCCCGGCAACTCTCGGCTCACTCGCACGTTTCCCTCTCTGGTTTTTAAGTTATATATGGAGCAGATGTTGTCCAGGCCTCCACAGGCAACATAGTTGCCAGAGGGAGCATAAGCACAGGTCATCACCCAGGAGGACCTCAAAGGAATAGCGTGCATCTGCAGAACACATTCCACATAGAACTGTTACTAAACAAACACTATAATCACACATTTGTTTCGTAAACCTATTTACAATGAAGTAAATATTACTAAACCTCAAATACATCTACAAAAAAGAAGCCAAATAAAGAATGTAATGGCTTGAAAAGGCAAACAATGAAAAATAAAATACTCATATACATTAAAATGCCTATTATTTTTTTCTGTATTATCAAATCAGAGTTAGGAAGTACTCTTTTTAGAAATAATTCTTTTAACAGAAGCAAGGACATGAAGATGTTTCAATGGTAATACAAACACTTGAAAAATTAAGTATGAAATGTTAAAGATTTTAATAAAAGTCTTTGTTTTTTCAGTACTGCTCAAATGAGTTTCCTCCAACATAACACTGAATGATAAAAAAGGAGGTAATTAGCAAGTCTCAGAGTTGATTAAGATGGTTCTTCCATGAAGAGATGACATTACCATCCTTCTATTAATAGGCACATATTCTGGGATCTCACTTAAACAATGGTGACAGTTTTGCACTGACCTACCACTATCTGGTGCCTTGTTATCCCAACATCAATAATTTGGTCAGATAGAAAAATTTAAGGTGTATAGGAATACTAAGGAATTAAAGTGTTGATAAAAATATTTTAAATCAGGGATTCTTTCCAGTGGATATATGAAAAGAATCCACAGTCTTTCACCATTGAGAGATCTAAGCAAGTTGTAATTTGCCTCCAATATACTGTATCTTCTACACAGTCCAGAAACACAAATCGATGCCTGGAGTGGGCCAAAGAAAAGCTTCACACTAGCCATCCAGCTCACCCACAACTAGAAATAAAAATCTCAGGGTCACTATCACATTAAGAAATGAGATTTTTAAAAAATCATTTATATGTAAAAATGGTACTCTTTCCTAATATTCAAATTTGAAATATGACAGTCAAGTTAAACAGTGAACAATATTTCTGTAGTTGCCTCTGGAAATAAAAAAGGGATAAATATTAAAAACAAACACTAAGATAAAGGAGATCTAGATTAAAATAAATAAAATAAATTTTTCTCAGAAGGCAATTAAAGTTTGAAGCAATCAAGGAAAGAACTGGTGGATGACAAACCAAATACAAGATTATTTAAAAGAATGATTAAGAAATTCTACCTTATTTGTTGTGTAGCTATCCCAAATAATTAATTTTCCATCTTGGGAAGCACTGACTAGTAGCCTAGAGGAAAAAACACAAAAATAATTTGATACTTAGAGGGAAAAAGTAGTTTAGTTGTACATTGCATTGATACAGAATTGTTCAGAAAAGAAAAATACAATTTTTCTAAAAACTTGACACCAAGAAATATTCTTCCAACTTTTAAAAAATTTACAATGCATACCAAAAATTTTGACCATAAATCATAAAATTTAGTCATTGATTAAAAAAGTCTCTGGCTATGATTCAACTTTTTCACAGTGATATTTTCATTATGATTCAAGAGTTTGGTAGGTATCACCTGACTGGTATAGTATTTCTGACTTAAATTTAATGACGATAACGTACATAAGCCTAGTAACCATATTTCCTTCAATCTAAAAACATCAGTTGAGAGCCTGTGACTGTGACAGTGTCACAGGTACAACACAGGACACATCTCCTGTTCTTGAGGCCTCTACCTTCTGGTGGAGGTAAGACATTTGCTCATATTTATAATAAATCAAGTAAGTGAAAACTTAGGAGAGTGGTACAAAATAAATGCCATAAGACAGTAAAGGGGGAACAAATAACTGCTAGTTGAGTTAATCAAAAGAGAATGTGTCTTAAAAAATGGAATTTTGAGAGCTCAAGACAGGGAAAAGTCTCTATCTTAGGAGGAGGCTAAATATGATCAATGACAAGAGGTAGAAAAACACGACGAGTGTTTCAGGAATTGTGAGTCTTTCACTCATACAGAATTTGAGAGAAAAAAACAGATTGAGAAAAGTAGACTGGGCTTAAACTGCAGAAAGCTTTGCTAAGCTAAGGAGTATGAACTTTTGACTAATTATTAACCAATGAATGTTTCGTTTTGTTTGGAATTTTTAGTTTTCATCATGGTATAAAATTCAAAAGATACAAAAGGATATGCAGTGAAAAAATCACTTTCCTGGGCCCACCCCCAGCTGCCCAGTTCCCTTCCCTACAGGTAAATAACATTACCAGGTTCTTGGGTATCATCCATCAGTTTATGTTTTTATGAAAGAAAAGATCTGATAGTGAGGTATGGTATGGAACCTAAAGAAAATTCTTTAAAAATCAATTGGAATCACTCTGGGAGGCCGAGGCGGGTGGATCGCTCAAGGTCAGGAGTTCGAGACCAGCCTGAGCAAGAGTGAGACCCCGTCTCTACTAAAAGTACAAA